TGAGCTCTAAACCTCAAAGCACTGAACAGTGCGGTGCTACCTGTTTGCGGCGACCTGATTGCGATGGTACCCACTCGACGCCGTCAATCATTCTCATCAATTCATCCTCCTCCGACTCCGTAATGAATTCAGGAACAACAAATAAACCACCAATTGATATACTTTCTTGACAAGAAGCAGATGAATCGTTTGACATCGTCGCTGGAAAAGAGCATAAGAGAAGGGACATAGTGAACAAGAATATTAATATGTAAACGTCCCAGTGAAAAATAGCAGCGTTCGCTCAATGGAAAGTAGCACCCAAGTGACTTTTGCTTGAGCTTACGCTTCAAACCTGACGTTTCCGTTATCTTTTCCTAGATTTGGTTGGTTACATGGGGAGTACAGAAAAGTTCAGGGCAGTTCGGCGACGGGGGCACTTTGCACTTTTGCTACTCCCCATCGACGGGTTGACTAACTGGAGAGCCTTCTCATGAATTGACAGGCTTTACCATGTTTGTACGAACAGGGCTGCTCCAGCTTCACAAGAATTCACAGGTTTCATCAGACTTGTAAAGCGGAACTAGTGAAGCAGGAAAGTGCACAACGCCCCCCCCCCCTCTTCCCCTTTGCCGAAATGCATATAAAAGTTCATTCAATTCTTTGAGCCTTCAAGCAACTGAGAAAAAAACCACAGGCTGAACACTAGTACCATTAGAAACACTATATCGGAAAACTATATTTATGTGTGGAGTAAGACCAACTTTAGTAGAAAGGGGCGGACAAGACAATCGTAAACCGCGGCGTCGCGCTTGGCGATGCGCGGCAAACTCTCAACGTGCATAGTTTCTCCACTACAAAAGCGGAATTCATGTGAGTTGAAGCGGAGACAAGGCTCCATGCCTAGAACATTTCCCCCTTTCCCGTCCCTTCAAAGGCACGCCCCACGTTCATTTGGCGAGCAGACGCCTTCTTTGCTAGTCCTGTCTGCAAGCACGGACGATGTATTACATTTGCGGCTCAAAATTAATGAAGAAGGCGCGAGTTACTCGCGACCAAACTACGCCCCGCCCACTGGCCGTGGCAACGCCCAACTTTCACTTTAAACTGCTGCCTCAAAGCGCCTGCTACTCTCACCGTTTCGAATGATGAGAGTAAGGTGATAAGGAGGAAGACTTGGCACCAACAAGTGCAACGCGTCCAAGCACAACTTCTCTTCGCCTTATGCGGGATCTTATATGGGGCATTTAGGACGATTTTTTTGCTTCCTCCCTACCTTTGTGTCACTTTCCGTACTGTCATAAGTACTGGAGTCGTTACCTCAACTGCTCAAGGTGGACGCAGCGCGTGCCTCCGACATCTGGATTGAAACGGCCGTGCTGGACAACTCGTCTCTCATACGCGCGGCGTCGTTCGTTACGCCCACCAATGCGGCATATTACAATTGCCTCGTCACATACCGGGGAGCGCTGCGTCCACACTGGGCAGTTACTAGCAGTTCTTCGAAGGCAAACCAGCCTCAGGTCGTTGCTTCACTTCTAAATACAAGCAGTGCGTGCTTCGACTGTTAAGGTGACTAGACGTTCGAGAGTCGCGGCTGACTGTTACCCAAGCAGTTTATCCCTATGAGGATCCTAGTTAAAGCAGAACGCTAAAATATTGACCTACCTGCAATAATGTCCTCAACGGATGCCAGTGAATTCAATTCTGGGCATCTCACGCATACATTCTGCTCCGACCTGTAGACGAACACATCATAGTCGGCATACCTATGAAAGATTCTACTGCGGATGACTTAACGATGCAAATAATACCTTGTAGTTTACATGAAATATTTTCAAAGACATACTTATTATCATCTTTCCGCAAATTCTGAACTCTTTCGGACATCTCACAGAGGGCACAGAAGCGGATGCCCTTACACCCACAGCTCTGGGAAGGTGTCTGCACGGCAGCCGCCATCTGAAAGTTGTCAGAGCTCCTAAACTTTTTGCTGAAAACGGTGCAGGAATAAATTAGGGCCCAAAATGGTTAAATTCAGAGATCGCCGTAAGTTGACGTGCCTTCTCTGCATTGCACTCTAAAGTCGCTACAGCATTCCTGAAATGTGAGCGTGTTGTGATGCGGACCGGCCGAGCGCTTTCATGTAACTTCCCTGAAGTTTTGCTTATTTGGTAGTGTTTTTTTTATGTTCCAACTGACCAATACTTCGAGTCGTACACAGCCTTCCGAAAGAAGGACATGTTACTCACTTCTGTTACGTGCTTGCTTCTCGTCCACAACGAGTTTTATTTCAATAGCTGGTGCTTTACTCTTTTTCTGTGCATCCTGGTCTTGTTTCTAGTTTCCTGTGTGATGGATGAAGCCATTGGTATTTTTGTCAGACCGTTCCGGTTTCTCGTCCTTTGCAGCTTTGTGGCCGCGCACGCCCAGGCAGCTTATCTGGCTGTCGGTTTGTGTCTGTGAGTCACGTGTCGGCAATGATACCCTCAGTGGGGAGAATTTTGGCTCTTCAATTCTGATTCTGCTCGCTGTTTCGCTTATCAGAAGAATTTCCTTCTCAATTTTATAGGCTCAAATGACTCACTTTTCTCCATACGTGATTCACATTACTTTTGCCCGTTGCTCAGCCACTAAAATCTGTGTTAAAACACTATCCAGGTTGTACTTATAAATTACGTTTCGCTCACTTTTCGCTTGTTATTTTTCTCGTAACTTCTAGCTGAATGATGATTCCTTGCCGTTACTTTTGCATTGTTCACTTCTTGGCCTAATTGTAGTGATGCGGTATCATTATTGTGCAGAATATTTGTTATAGGTGCGCACGTTCTAGGCGAGTAGTGAAGAAAGAGAACTCTGTGCGTTTCCTATTTGTCATTTGATGATACCATCAGCGGTTTCCCGCATTGATTATGGCCCCATCCGGGGTTAAACCTGGTGTTATCAAAGTGAGTTTGTAAATTCGAAAAATTTTCGAGTTTTCCCTGTAATTTTTTAAAAAAGCTCTTCGTATTCGTTTATTTCACTGACGACATTTCGGGGCGTTAGCCAATTTGCAGATTTGAAAAAAAACATTCTTCATTCATTAACTTTAATTAATTGGTTTTCATAGTCGATAATAAGGGAAACTGGGGTTCTGGGAGTACTGGGTGGAAGCCGCTCCTAATGGCAGAGTGGCAGCGAAAAGTTTTCGAGTGTTTCTGCTCTTTTCCCAGTCAAGCTTGTAGATCTTCTTTTCCTGCTTTGTTATACGTTTCGCTGGTTTGCGGGCGCAGCTCGGTTTGGGGGAAAAACGGGCTGGGGAGGGACCATTTTTGTAACCTTCGTCTATGTGTCATATGTCAAAGTAGACAAAACTATTAGAAACACACGAAGTGTTGCGAACTTTATTCCCGTCATTTCTTCGTTTTTCTTGTGTTTGGTTGATATGAACTGAGAATGGAAACACTTGTTAAGCCCAGACTTTCCAAGTGCTCCGGTGTGCAAGAGAAAAAAATCTTCTCTATGAAAATATTCGCATTCCGTAGCTTTAAAGTAGCTTACAAAATGTCCCTCGACTCGTACTTTTTTCATTCTTTACTTAATCAATGCCTTATTCAGGATCCAGCTGTTGCTGCACTTTTCAGCCACAAAGATCCTGAATCGCGATATGATGACCTTCGAGAAATCGGGCATGGATCCTTTGGAGCTGTTTACTTCGTGAGTATAGCGGGTTTATTTTTTCTTTGTCAATGACTTTCTTTTTTTTGTATTCTCTGTTGTGAATATCGAGTAAACGGTGGAAGGACTGCTTCTTCAGGCGTTCGATAAAGAAACGAGCGCAACAGTTGCTATCAAGAAAATGGCTTATTCAGGGAAACAGGCAGGTGAGAAATGGGCGGATATTCTAAAAGAGGTTAGTTTCCTTGTAAGTTTGAAATTTTGAGTTTTTTGTAAGTGTCTCCTAGCTGAATTGATTTTTATCACAATTCATTTTTCAGGTGTCATTTTTAAATAAAATAAAACACCCTCACATAGTTGAATATAAGGCGTGCTTCTTGAAGGATCAGACTTGTTGGGTGAGTTTTTCATCGCTTATTTTGGCGTTATCTCCCTGGCCGTTAGCTAGCTCCTTATCTTGTTTTTGAATGCCTTGAATGTTTTTTTTTCACTTATATAGCTTGTGATGGAATACTGCATTGGCTCGGCTGCGGACATTGTGGACGTTCTGCGTCAAGGGTTACGTGAAATTGAAATCTCGGCTATATGTAGTGAAACGTTGTCAGCCTTACATTACCTGCATCAACTGCAGCGAATTCATCGGGACATTAAAGCTGGAAATATCCTCCTCTCGGACACAGCTCACGTAAAACTTGGTCAGTTTTATTATATTTTTCTAAGTTGTGTGTACTATTTTTCCTTCCTTCGCCATCGCTCAATGGAGTTTCCAGCCGACTTCGGTTCTGCTTCGATGTCTGACCCAGCTCAAACATTCATTGGCACTCCTTTTTTCATGGCTCCCGAGGTAATTCTCGCAATGGATGAGGGCCATTATACGGAGAAGGCTGACATATGGTCACTTGGAATTACATGCATAGAATTAGGTAAAGTATTTTTAAAATTGCTGCTACTGATGCTTAACAGCGGAATTGCTTCCCTACAATTTCTGTGATCTCGGTTCGTTTGTCCATTCACCGAAAATATGTTGCTGTTATAGCTGAAAGGCGACCACCTCTGTTCAACATGAACGCCATGTCTGCCCTTTATCATATTGCCCAGAATGATCCTCCCAAATTGGCTCCTATTACGAATGAAAATCAGCCCGAATGGTCAGTATCTTTTCAGTGACAGGATGGAGAACTGAAAGGTTTAATGGTCATTCAGGTCTGATTGGTTCAAAAATTTCGTGAATATTTGTTTGCAAAAAGATGCTGATCAGCGACCGGCCTCTGGTGAATTGTTGGATGTAAGTTACTGTTTTTGTTTTTCCTTTCCACGATCAAGCCTAAAACACTTTGTTGTCCGCAGGACCTCTGAATCCTGCTAACATTGTTTGGAATTTCTTCTGTAGAACGTTCTGTTTACCTGTTGGCATGAATTCATGGGAATATTCACAGGGTGCCCGCATTTCCCTTGTTCGTACTTACAAAGCTTATCAGACTAAAAGAAAAAGTTAACTAGGCAAGTATGATATGCCTACAGTCTCCCAGAACGACGTCTACCACGAAGTTCTTCTGATCCCATCTCCAAAAATTTAACAGTTTTCATCATGCATAGATGACACTGCATACACGACTACATTTTTGATCTTTCAGCATGCTTTTATTACGCGGCACGAACATAAAGGTGTGATTCAGGAACTTATATCGAGGACAAAGGCCATTGTGAGTTCTAATTCATAATTTATGCTTAATTTTCTTTTGTTCGTTCTTCGAAGGCTGCGAAGGGTTGGAGGATATTCTGTGTTCTGGTTCCTTAGCTGTTCATGCCTACGTCACGACATTGTTCGCTAGAGTTTCAAAGCGAATTTAAGGTTATGGAACTGGATAATTTTCAATATAAGAAAATGCGTAAGTTGATGTACCTCGATGAAGTGGAGAATAAAGACGGCGAGCATGTGCAAGGTACGTCCGTTGTGCTTATGTCAAGTTGGGCGAGAAGTCCTGTAACTCTTCAGATAAATTTTGGTTTTGAATTTTTTTCCGTTGAACGGAACCTCCAGTGTACAAGGTAATCACATTTCCATACTATGAGTAAGCCCATTTTTTCGGGCTACTTTTCGATGACACTCTTCAGGAGCTTCAAAGATTGCGAACGAAAGACCCTGTCTTATTTTTGACTTTTTGTCTGTTGCGCAATTTTTTTTCGAGGGATGTATGAAAAAACTGCATAGGTAATAATCGAAGATCCCTTGGTCTCGTAAACAAGCAAGGATGATACCTCTCACTTGGGGAACATGATCCTTTTGGATGTTATCGAGCGTATGCGGATGCTGTGCTATCATGCAGTAGAATGAATTCCACCCTACTGAAGTATTTCAAGTTTGGTTTCGGCTTTCTTTTTAAGTTTATCAGAGCAGACAACGGCCGTCACCTCTGTGCCAGTATTCAGCGGTATCGCTTCGAAGTCCATTCTTTACCACAGTGAAACCTGGCATCAATGCAGGTGTAGTCTCGATATTCCTAGTGACCTTTCTTTTTTGAGAGGTGATGTGAAGGTTATGCGCTTGGTTCACGTGAAGACCGTTCTCTGGCTGCCAGCCACAATGTCTGCCAAAAATCGTCCCAGGAAGAGCAAAGATTCATCCGCGACTCCTCAGTGTGCTTTTTCACACTAGTAAATCTCGTGTGGTATCTAGACAGTGGAGTTCCCCGTTACCCGAGATTGCACAGGTTGTCATATGAGTATACCCTAAGCAAGTTACCACATGCTTTTGCTTACGTTCGGCTGCGCCTCCAAGGGGTTGAGTAAACCGTAATCAGAGTACAGCATCGTTGTGTGAAACACATAGGGAAGGTCGTACTTTTCCTCTGCGGAGGGAGGAGGAGGGGGGTCGTGTTTGGTCGTTGTTGGGAGAGAGGAGGGCCGTATGTGGCTTTTAGAAAAAGTTGCCGCGTTGATTTTCCCGACCGTTGATTTCTCCTGATTTTCCTGTTTCTTGTGTACTATATACGCCCTCCCCCCACTCGACAGCAAAATTTATTGGGGAAAGTAGGAAAATTCGCAGGAAGTTCCTAAAAAAGTGGTAGGAAAGTGAGGAAAATCTACGAAATATTCCCATTCCACACTGGCTATACCCCCACCCCCTGGATTGGAAATCTTTGGATGAAAAACTGGAAATGTGGGAAATTGGTAGGTAGGTTTGGGGGCGGGGCTCGTACTGACACCACCATTTCACCCATCACGATGCTGTACCCTGACCGTAATCATGTTGTGCCAATTTATGACCAATACGTTCCCCTACAGTTATTATAGAATAGCTCCAGTTCACAAGCCGTGATTCCAACGAGACACTGGCATGGCAAGCGACATTTCTCTTGAAGACAACGCGGATATTAGCTCCCTGATTACAACAGAGTGGTTCTACAGGAATTCACAACAATAGTGACCCACCCGTTCTCAGATAGAACTCTTCAGTACTTAAGGGTAACAACACTCAGAGTGCGTTTTAAGTTTTCTTCCTGAACAACGTCTTCAGGCTTGAGGACTTTTCATCCAACCTTATATGTGTGAAAATTCGGGGTCGCTTTGGTTCTTTGAATGTTTTCTATTAGTACTCTTCTTTATCTGCTCTTCCTTCAAGACCGCTTCGATGTTTCTGGTTGCTTGCCTGCTTTCAGCTGATTTTGGTTGCTAAATTATCTTTCCTTTTTTAATACTTTTTGGGCCTTTTATACTTCCCTTTCTCTTGCTTGATATTTTGGTTAAGGTGGAGGATGTGAAGAGGTGGACGATATAGCGACTGATTCAGGAATGTTGTCAGTTGAAAAAGGTAGGTATCTTTCCGATAGGGGACGCATTATTTTGCGATTTTTTACAATATGTTTTTTCAGCTGTTTTTCTATTTTGTTTGTCATTTCAACCCTCTGCTGAATTGATTTTTTTTTGTAAAACCAAAGGTTTAGCATCCATTGAATCATTCCCAAACCGTGGTTATACTCGGTATCGTTGTGAGGGCAGGCTGGAGGTGCAAAGCGCCATCAAGCCAAGTCAACTTTATAGCAGAATAACTGTTATTTTCTCACCGAGTGCAACCGCTGTCCAGCTTCTTCTTATGGTTGCGTTTCTTTGAATTATCGTTTTTATCTCTACTTGTGGCTGAAGCTTCAGTTTCAAACCTACGGATGGCTGTCCCGGGTTCAGTTTCAGAATTCGCCAAGTCGCCTTTCACAACAAGTGACATGTTGGTTTCTTTCACATCGTTGACAGAAGACACTTCATAGCTATCAGTCCTTATCCTTATGATAAACATATTTCGCTACCACAGGATAATCTTTATTCAGGTGTATTGGGCAGCGTTCAGATGTGCGTATGCTATCAACTGCATCGATCGCGTCGAGCGCGCGACCGAAGCGCCGCCGTCGCGAAGTCTGAACGCTGCCTTAGCCAAGCACCTTTCCCCACTGTAGGGCTTCCTTACACTCGAGGGCGAGTTTTATTCGAAAAATGCCTTAGAGAAGGTTATAATATGGGTGAATCACTTCCAGTAAATCGTAAACGTAGGGCATACCTTTCCACTGCACTCAATTGATTTGTGGCAGGTGTCTGTCAGTATCTCAATAAGTCATCCATCGTACCTGTCGGGATCACTAGGAAAAAGCGTCCAAAAGGTTAATCCGAGTTGACAGAAGTCAAGAGAAAAAATTAAAGTCCTGTTCCGTCCGTACAGCAAAAGCCGAGCGTGACCTTGAAATAATGACACTCCCCGTCATGCTGGTCAAACTGTTGCTCGAATCGTCTTCTTTTGTCGAGGGGGCAACACTTTCACGTCTATAATGCGATAGAATCGAAAAAGAATGATTAGAGGCTATACTTTCCTTATATTATAGACAGATGTAATGTTGTCGTATGAGGCTGTGTCTATTCGATATCTTGGAATCATCTTAATTTCTGAAAAATTCGATGGAATATTTTTATAAAGCTTCTACTTCAAGGAGATTCAACGAGCTCGAAGAGTGGTTCAATGAAAAGCCTCACATCGTTTCGGTCGTTGCAAAGTAGCAGTGGCGGTAATGGAACAGGCTCTCGCCTTCCAATTCCTTCAAGCTTCAAACCGGAAACTACAGAAGGAGAGGTATGTTTTGAACTGATCCTCTCTAACAGTACTTCTTCCTTTGCTCCTGTAGTCCTAGCGGCTAGATGGCAATCCTCTTTATCCAGAACCTTTTGGTGAAGGTATCAAAAATTGGTGAAAAATGTTACCGCTATTTAAGCATGTGTAAAATGAGGTGGCGAAATTGTTAAAATAAATACTCTGGAATTAGTGGTCCAAAGAGGGTCGAGTTGTCCTGGTCTTATCACGAACTCTGTTGATGGCAAAGATCAGGCATTCAAAACAAAATGAGATTAGTTGCAAGTTAGCGAGGGGCATTCAAATTACTCGCGCAAAAATGAACAACCGTGAAGTCGATGGAGATTTTTAAAGATTAGGAGCTTCGGGGTGGGTGGACCATGTTATTTTACGAAATGGGTTTCGTATGATGGTAATCCCAGTTCAGCACAGTTAGTCGTCCTTGAATTCCCCTGCTTTAGCTGACTTATCTCAGTAATTATTTTTCAGATTGAGTCTCTAATAAGAGTTCCATTGGTTCATTGCAGGGCATTTTGACTTATCGTTTACAGAATCGAACTCTGATACCCGTTGGAAATGTTTCTCTTGATGGCTCTGAAGCATATAACACCCGACCTGCTAGTCCCATATCTTCAGTGAAACTCGAAAGGAATTTCAAGGTTTGTTTCTAAAGGATGTCCGTAATAGTAATAATAAGTAATAGTATGCTGCGAAACCAGTGTGATCTGAAGGAGTAATTCCTTGAGTTGTTTTTTCTTTCGCTCGGGGGTACGGCTGTTGCCAATTTTGTTTATTGTGGGGATCATTCTTCCAAAGATCATCCGGACGCTTCATTTCGCAGTTCCAAGTGTGTTATG